CACACACACACACACACACACCCAAAAAAAAAACCGGGGCGGGGGGGAAGAAGATATAACAACTACAATTTCTTTGAAGGTGTTACAACAAGCAAACGGAAAGGACATTCTTGGGTGGGAGGGGGGAGAGGGAGGAGGGAGGGAGGTTTCGGTGATGGGTCATAATAATCAACCACATTGTATATTGACAAAAAAAATAAAATAAAATAAAATAAAATAAAGATATGACAACAGTATTGTGGTTATATTTTAAAAAGAGACCTTATTCTAACAAAAGTAAAAATAAAAATGATATGATGTTTGGGATTTGTTTAAAAATTATCTAGCAGGAAATGGGGTGGGAATCAGGAAAGTACATATGGGGAATACAAATTAAACAAGAGTGGCCATGTGTCAATAACCATTAAAACTACAAGATGGATATTTAAGAATTTATTATACTATTCTCTCTACTAGAATATGTTTAAAATTTTCCATAATAAAAAATATAATCAAGTGTTATAAGACCTATTAAATGAAATAAAATAAAATAGTACCTCCTATAGTTTCCACTACTTCTGAGTCACAAGCAGAAGAACCCCAGGTTACTGACACTACAATGATATGCCCAACTTTTGTCGGTCTTGGAAGATAAAACAGTGAAGTTTCACCTGGCTTTCTTTCACCTGGCAAGGATGCACCAAGCCCCACTAACAGAAGGCTCACCATATGGTCTGAATTTCTCTGGATGATGCACACCGGCATATAGAATGCTTAAAACATGAACATTCCTAGTCATTGCCAGTACTTCCCTAGAGGCCTTCCTTTGGAACTGAGGTTGCTCATCTGCAATGCAGACACTAACTATACCAAGAGTCACTTCTGAAAAGTTTATTTGAGGTAGAAGAGACTGCTCTTGAGTCCTTTGGAAAAGTTACCTTAACAAAGCTGTTGACAGCCATGATGGCCATGTCTGGCTGACTCTTGGCATAATTCATCAAGTAGAGATACACGAGCTTCTTTAGTTCCAGGTTGTCAGTCTGCATACAGTTCACTACATCTGGAAAGAGAGAGCTGAGAAGAGAGGGGGAAGAAAAAAGGAAAGTGAACAGGTGTTGGTGCCAAGCTATTGGATAGAACATGAAGAAATGGTCTTATACTACGGAATGATTTAATACAAGGACAAACATCCCCACAGTGATAATTATTATCACAGAAATGAATTACCAAAGAAACTGCAGTACTGGTCCCAATGTAGTATCTAAATAGTTTTTGAAAAAACTTTTTACTACAAAAAATTTCAAACAAACAAAAGTAGAGACAGTAGTATAATGACTGTGATGTATCCATCACCTACAAATATTGATACATGCTCCATCTTATCTCATATATATCCTCAACCCAGTGCCCCAATCCCCATCCCATTCAATTACTCCAAATTATTTTTAAATAAATCCTAGACATCATACCATCTATAATACTTTAGTATATATCTTTAGGAATCTTTTCTAAAAATCATTACCTTTATCACACTAGAAAAATTAACATTAATTCTTCCTATCAATCCACTGCAATTTTACTAGTTATTGTACTTTTTAATGCTCATATTCTTCCATCCTTGACTGGTGGGAAACTACAGTTATTGTACTTTTTAGTACTCATATTCTTCCATCCTTGACTGGTGGGAAACTACAGTTATTGTACTTTTTAGTACTCATATTCTTCCATCCTTGACTGGTGGGAACTTATTCAGTTAGCTCCTGAGTCCCTGTTATGTGATCCTGTATTTTCAATAGTTTTCTTCTTTCTCATATGACAGATGCTCCATCCAGGCTCATTTTGTATACTTTTAATCCCAGACCTGGAATTTCCCATTTCTCCAAGATGTCCTGATTCCCTTTTAGTAGAATTTATTTATTTATTTTTTAAAAAATTACACAGACAAATGAAAATTTGAGTGTAATAAAATATAAAAGGAGTTTATAACTTTCCCAAGTTCTGGTCATTTCACAATTTACCATTTTGCTACAAGCCACAGGATAGAAATTTATATATCCATTCACAAAGTAACACCATTAGCTGGGAAGGGTTGAGCTTGTCGGATTCTAAAGTGTAAGCTGTATTTTTAAACTATAGGTTAACTATAATTTTATAGAAAGTTAGCAATTAACCTTCTCCCTAAACCTTCATCAAAGTACCTTATAAATTTTAAATACTTGTAAACATCTTACTACTAGTATAGAAGAAAGGTGAAACAAATATCAGTATATTTCTACAGAAAAGAGAATGACTGAAATAACTGGTCACGTGGTATATCTCCCATACACACACAAAAATAGGGTTTAGAAACAGAAACTATTTACAAAAAGAAGGATGCACTGCAAAGTCAAAGAATCCACCACATCTCCAATGAATCAATGACTTCTGTCCTGGAAGGCAAACTATTTGTTTAACTTGTATGTATGGTACCTACTGTAGTTTCATGCATATTTAATAAATGATCTCTAAAAATGAGTTTTCCTTCTATTTCCTAGGAGAACAGCTCATGTGCAAAATGACCATAAAACCAGTAAATGTGAAATATTAACCAATACTAAATTTAAGATCCTAAATAATTTACTTCTAACAACCTACGCGAGGTGAAGAAGACTTAATAGTCAAAATGCTAGAGATAAAAACTGTTAAGTAACAACCTATAAAGCTAGAAACCTGAACTTTCTGATATGGTAGCCACTAGTCGCATGTGGCTAATCTGAACTGAATTGTGATGTAAGTGTAAAAAGCACACTGGCTTTTGAAGACTTAGTATGAAAAATATACTGTAAAATATCTCGTTAATAATTTTTGTATTGATCACATGCTTAAATCATACTATTTTGGATTTATTGGGTTAAATAAAATATATTAAAATTAATTTCATCTGTTTCTTTTTACTTTTTAAATATGGTTACTAGAAAATTTAAAATTACACATATGGCTCCCACCGTATTTCTATTGCATAGGACTGAACTTGAGATTACTTGCAGGGAGACTGAAATATAATAACCTACAAATAGGTAATCTCTATTCTATTTCTTTGTGCTGTCTTTCTAGCTCATATCTCATCTCCTCCACAAAGGGTTCTTTATTCCTACTTACACGGATCTTTCTTTTGTAGAACTCTTACTGCTCTTAACGTACACATTTTAGTACCTAATTACATAACTATATTTTATTATTCCCTAATTTTTCAAGTTTTGGGTCTCATCAAGTAGACATCAAGGCTAACAGACATCTACTGAATCATGATACATGGTATAGTGCTAGGCACATGATAAATTATCAACAATCAGCAGACTAACAAGTAATATTTTACCAAGCAAACAAAAGGAAACTCAAGAACTTTAACTTTTCCAAAGGATACAGAAATAAGCTTGGCAAGAATACATTCCCAGTAAAGAAGTATGCCGATTTTACATTTGTTTGTACTGATGCTCTCAATCTAGATTTATTCTTTGGCAAAAATAGCCTTTCAATGACTAGATAGATCATGGGTAGGCAAACTATAGCCTGTGGGCTAAATGTGGTCCACTGCCAGAATTTTACAAGTCAGGAGCTAAAAGTTGTTTTTATAGATGAACTTTACAACTGATTTGACAGGGAATACTATGAACCCCAATCAAGCACAATGTTATTCTACCCCTCAAAACAGAATCCCACTCTTATTAGTAGACCTGCAGTACAAAAGATTTTACTTAGTTATTATTATTATTCTTTCAAAAAAGATGACTGGTAAGGGGATCTTAACCCTTGACTTGGTGTTGTCAGCACCACACTCTCCCAAGTGAGCTAACTGGCCATCCCTGTACAGGGATCTGAACCCGTGGCCTTGGTGTTATCAGCACCACACTCTCCCAAGGGAGCCATGGACTGGCCCCCTTACTTAGTTATTATACTTTGAATTACATCAAAAAAAAAATTGTGGGAATTTGTTTTCTTTCTTGTTATATAAGTACCTACATAACATCAATACTTTGCAGCTTGGCCCACTAAGCCTGAAGTATTTACTATCTCGCCCTTTACAGAAAAAGTTTGCCAACCCCTGAAATAGAGCAACTTAAGAACAAATGGGCTTTATGTGCTAACAAAACAACAATAACGAAAACCCTGCCTCAGAACAATAGCACCTGGAGCACAAGAAGATACTGAGTCACACTGTATTGCTCCCTTTTCTATCTGGACTCCCTGTTTGGTGTTGGGAGCAGCTCTCACCTTTTTGGTCTCAGGATCCCTTCATGATTAAAAGTTACTGAGATCCCCAGAGAGTTTTTGTTCATGTGGGTTATACCTATCGATATTTTGCCATATAAGGAATTTAAACAAACTGAGAAGTTTTAAAAATATTAATCCATTTAAAATAACAATAACCAATTCTATAACATATTTAAAAGTGAAAATTTACTATAGTTTTTTAATTAATGAGAAGATGGCACTGTTTTACATTTCTGAAAATTTCTTTAATATCTAGTTTAAACAAAGACAGTATTCTCACATCTGCTTCTGCATTCGACCTGTTGTAGAATGTTGTTTTGGTTCAAGTATAAAAAGAAAAATCCAGCTTCATACACGTATATAACTTGGAAAGGGGAGAGATATTTTAATAGCTTTTTCATATAACTGGATATTACTCTTTGATACTACACTAAAAATAGAAAAATGGTGGTTTTTCTTTCTTTTTGAGTCCACAAATGGTAGTTTCTTAAAAGTTAGTTGCAATGTGGAATCTGAAACCATTGATAAACTTTTTGTACTTGGTTACATTAAAATCCATTCCTTTATCATGCATTTTGAATAGACCTTTTATCATGCATAATTTTGTGATATATGCACTGGTCATTTGGAAAATTTAGGTTCACTGAGTTACACAGATTTTCCCAATGTTGACATATTTATTATATAACAGCAAATAATCACATTCATTAATTTCACCACCAATCTCATCAGAAAAATCTTTAAGCATTGGGAAGCTGTCTAGCTCAGGATGGGAGGAAATACAAGTTTTCCAAAATTCTAATTTTTACTTTAAAGCTCAAAATTTATCTACTGTTGAATTTTTACTCTTGAAGTGATGGGTTCACTTTGTTCATTTTTAATAAAATGTCTCCCATATACCAAAGTCTGATTAAATATAGTTTGTCTGTCAATAATTCTTTCACATAAAAATAGTGTTTGCAATTCAAACAATCACACAAGGCTTTTTTTCAGGTCAACCATTACTTTTTTGCTACACAGCAAAAGAGCTTTATGTGCAATTCCTATTTCATCACACAGACTATTAAAAAGGTTGAATTCTTAACAAAATAAATCTTCAATGCTTCATGACAGACAGTCCTAAGTGCAACTGCCCTTTTTGAAGTATATGGTAGTAAAGAATACCATAACTACTCTTATAGTCAGCTCCACTGTCTTGATTCATGCTAAGGCACTAGAAGTATCCACCACGGCTTCACATCATCAGTAGAGATGTCAAAATGGTGAAAAAGGCAAGTAACACCTAAGTATTATTATAAAAGTAGCTCAGGGCTGGCTGGTAAGCTTACTCGGTACAGTGTGGGGCATTACACCAAAGTCAAGGGTTTGGATCCTCTTTCTGGCCAGCCAACCAAATAAAACAAAATAAAATAAAAAAATAAAAATAGCTTGACCTCAGGGACCCCCTAGAAGGGTCTTAGAATCCTCAGGGGCCAGCAGACAATCCTTATTTCCAAATAGTCGTGCTAAATTATAAAAACAAAAAATAAGACCAAATGGATTTTGTTAACATTGATTTTCATGTTGAATTCAGTAACTGAATGTAGAGTTGTAAAGTTGAGGGCACTGGCTTGAGACAATTAAAGAATATGTGAGCTTCTGCTTCTCAGTATATTTTTATCATCTTCTAAAACTACCTGAGCCAACGGATTGTAATTGTGCCAGCTCTCAGGCGGTTTTATGCTAGATCTGTATGCAACAAAATCAAACTTGTTTCACTCTTCTAAAAAAACAAAAAAACACTTAAGTTAGAGAGTTAATATAAAGCAACTAGCACTTCCTGACGATGTTTTCAGTGGTACAACGCATTCTTGTAAGTTCTATAGCAGTTTTGAAAGAAAAGCAGTAGAGAACATAAAATGCGGTATGGGTCTCTAAAGTGACAACAGCAGGAGTGATTACCTTACCTAACATCCTTCCCCACAGTCATAGCAGCAATCACTTTCTTCACAGCCTCCTTCCTCTTTTCTTTCTTTTCATTGTTGAGTTCGGCTTTTAATTCAAAGATTTCTCCTACAAGAAATGAGAATGAATGGGTGAGGTCCAGAACCAGAGAACTAAAACAGAATACTGCACTATGTAATCACTCACACTAGGATAGCAGAGGAGCAACTGAAATAAGATTATTTAAAAAGTGCAGGATATGTAAAATTCAAAACCCTAGAATACTGACTCACTGATAAGAACACCACTAATAACTTTTAAAAACCTTTTAAATTACTGTTAGAGAGGAAGGTACAGTACCATAGTTTTGGAACTACAGGATTGGGAAAAAATAAATCTCACAATATCTAACTAAAATGGAAGAAAATGGTATCTGCAGGATGATCTCCAACTGAATTTATTTTTTCCTTTTTGTCTTTTTTCGTGACTGGCAATGGAATCGCAACCCTCAGTGTTGCGCCCACACCTCACTCAGCCAGTGAGTGGCCGGTCTGTATGTGGGATCTGAACCCTCGGCAGGAGCGCCGCCGCACTCCCAAGCGGCGCACTGTAGCAGTGCGCCACCGGGCCGGCCCTCCAACTGAATTTTAAGGTCCTGAAAAGAAAATAAATGTAGACAGGGAACAGGCTTAGAAATGAGTGTTTTCAAACGAGAAGAGACTCCACATATCATCTCATTTACCCAATCCCAACTTTACAGATAAAGAAATGAGGCTCAAAGGTCACAGAGTGAATTAGTGACAGAGCTGGGCTTAGTGCTGTATCTGCTGACTCTCAAATCGGGAAGTTCTCAACCTTGACCACACACTAATATTACCTGGGAACTATTTAAAAATAACTATGTTCAGGTTTCACGCTGGACCAAATAAATCAGAATGTCAAGGAGAACTCTTATATTCATATTTTTTTAAAAGTTTCCTCAGGTGATTCTAAAGCACAACCAGGGTTGAGAATCATTGCTCTAATTAGTACATTAATAAGTTAGTGGGCCTTAAGGCCCCATCCTATTCAATCATCCTAACAACAACAATCTTGAAGCTTCAAGAATGGTACAAAACAGTCATTTTCAGAGGTATAATCTTGAATGATTGCTCAGGCCCTGCACTGTGAAATACCAAGGACTGTCACCACCCTTTTAAGGCCTGGTCTCCAGGCTCACCTATCTTCAGAATGCTAGAACCAAAATAAAAAAGAGGGTAATAACCATCATCTGCTTTAAGGGAAAAACAAAACAAAACAAAAAAAAACCACACCACTAAGCCGAAGAAGAGGTTGACTACTCCCACCTCAGCATTCCATCTATAATCTTACATTCATATAATATTGCATCATTTTTCTCTACCTTCAAGACTGTTCTAGACTCTGCACACCAAAAATATGTATAATCAATGAAGATAAATAAATAATAAATAAATTTTAATAAACTAATATCAGAAAGAAAAGAAGGAAAAAGAAAAAGACTGTTCTTGATGTTCATATTAACAAGACCTCATTCATGAGTATAGAAATAGTGGAGACAGCACACTCTGTGATCTGCCTGAAGCCCCTTAAATAGAAAGGATGGAATTGGTAACACACACACAAACTGAGCACTAAAAAAACTTGTTTCATCAACATCTACTACCAACAAGGCAAAAAGGTTGTTACAAAATCAACAGCTGCAAAAATAGCACAGCCAGAAAAGCTGGGCCCTTTAAAGAGTCATTCTCCTCTTCACCAGGTCCTATGCTGCCAAATCCAGCTCTTAGGGTTCCCATCATTTACTTCTGGGAACGATAAAGGACAAACAACAGGATTTCAGAAAGATGAACTGTGAATAGCAGCAGGATTTGCAGAATCAAAACAGGATGTAACTGAAATTATTCCAATTCCAATAGCATAAATTTAAAGAATATGTTTTAGTGACAGTTCTGGTAGGCGTTGCAGGAAGCAAAGGGAACACAGTCTATCCATTTCTTTTAATGTGGTATTTATCTACCAGTGATTCAATCTGTAAGTTTCAAATTTGTTATAAATGCTTGAATTTAAAAAGGTCACCAGGACCCCTTACAAGAGAAGGTTTGAAGTGTTAAGTGAGATTTTAAGTTATATCCTTTACGTCCTTATAGATTATATGTTGGCCATCAAAGCACATGAGATGTTAACTGAAGAAAGAATAAATAAATACATTTCCAAATGACAAGAAAATCAGAAAAAGCTGAAAAAGAATGGCAAGGAGCTAATGGCTTTTGTTGTGAGGTATAAGTAATAACAATAGGGAGGAAAAAGTTGGGAGAAGGCAAAGAAGGGGACTAAGAGAGGCAAAGTAAATGATATATACTACAACTTTATTAAATTCTTATCTTTTGTCCCTCCTATTTCCCCTAATCAAACCTACCAAGCATTGGCAGCAGCTGGCAATGATTCTCAGTCTTGGCTACACATTAAAATAATCTGGGAAGGGCCGGCCCGTGGCTCACTCGGGAGAGTGCGGTGCTGATAACACCAAGGCCACGGGTTCGGATCCTATATAGGGATGGCCGGTTCGCTCACTGGCTGAGCGTGGTGCTGACAACACCAAGTCAAGGGTTAAGATCCCCTTACCGGTCATCTTTTAAAAAAAAAAAAAAAAAATCTGGGAAGCTTATAAAATCCCCACACCCAGACCATATCTCAGGCTACTAAAATCAGTTATCTAGCGTTGGGACCCAGGCATCAGTATTGTTTTAAAGTTCCCTGGGCAATTCCAATTGTAGCCAGTTTTGAAAGCCACTGACTAGTAGTTGGTATAATTAAGCAACATCACTATGGAGGTTTTTGTATAATAGCAAAAAAATGTGTTTACCTCTACATAACTCCAATGATAGAACAGGAGAGACTGAGCTTTCTGGAATATGCTCTGGTGCTCCTTGCTCGCTCCAGGCCACACCTGGGGTGTGCCCTCCTTTTTTTTTCAATAATTCCAATCTTAAAGTTGCAAGACTCCCTAGTCGTTAACATTTTGCCACATTTGCTTTATTTTTCTCTCTACATATTTACATATTTTTCCTATACTATTTAACAGTAAGCTGCAGACATCATACCTCTTTAGCCCTGAAATACATCAGTATCTGTTTTCTAAGAACAAGGAACTTACCTCATATAACCATAATACAATGACCAAAATCAAGAAATTTAACATTGATTCATCATTATCATTTAATCTATAGACTGTATTCAAAGATGTCAATAATGTCCTTTATGGCAACTTAATTCCCATCCCATTCCCACTTCTGGGCCAGGATCCAGTTCAGGATTATTACATTTATTGTCACATCTCTTTAGTCTCCTTTATTCTGAGAGAGTTCCTTTGCCTTCATGATGACATCTTTTTAAAGTACAGACTAGTTATTCTATAGAATACGCTCAGTTTTTCATGCGTGTTCCCTCATGATTACATTGAGGTTATGCATTTTTGGCAAGCTAACTTATAAATGATGGTATGTTCTCAGTGTATCACATCAAGAGAAAAAAATGATGTTGGCTTGTCATATTATTGTTAACACTGAATATTTGATTAAGATGAAAAATGCCAGATTGACATTGTAAAATTAATATTTTTCCCTTTGCAATTAGTAATTTGTGAAGATACTTTGAGACTATGTAAATACCCTGTTCCTCATCAAACTTTCACCTGCTAGTTTTAGCATTTATTTATGACTCTTGCCTAAATTATTACTATGATTTATGCATGTATAGTTGTCCCCTGGTATCCATGGGGGATTGATTCCAGAACAATCCCCATACCAAAATCATGGATGGTGGGCTGGCTGGTTAGCTCAATAGGTAGAGTGTGGTGCTGATAACACCAAAGTCAAGAGTTCGAATCTCCGCACTGGGCAGCTGCCACCAAAAAAAAAAAAAAAAAAAAAAAATCACAGATGCTCACAACCCTTATATAAAATGGCACTGTATTTGCATATTACCTATGCCCATCCTCCCTTACTTTAAATCATCTCTAAATTACTTATAATACCTAATACAATGTAAATGCTATGTAAATATGTAGTTGTTTTTTATTTGTATTTTTTTAATTGTTGTACTGTGTTTTCCCCAAATATTTTTGATCTGCAGTCGACTGAACCTGCAGATATGTAAGGTTGACTGTATGTGTATATGTGTGTGTGTATATATGTATATGTATGTGTGTATACACACACACACACTCACATATATGAGGAGTCTTCAAAAAGTTTGTGGAAAGATTCGTATTATCTTTGAATTCCATTTTCCACGAACTTTTCGAAGTATTCTCATATACATACACATGCACTTATTCGTTTATTATTCAGTAGATTATAAGCCACTATGATCACTTTTTTGTTGCTCAAATTACTCCAAATTTGGCCAGTGGGAGCCCCTTCAAGCTATGTTGCTCCTTGACATATCCCATCATTTTTTTTGAGCACTTCCTTACTATCTGGCACAAGATATTCATGTTCATCTTATACTTTCCTTGCCCCAGCCCTGGAATCAGTCATTTCTCCAAGGAGTCCTGGTTCCTTTCAGTGAGAAATGCTATCTAGAAACCAAGATCTGGGTACTAGGAATCCTATACACCTACTCTGACTTGGAGGAAATCAGGATATTTAATCAGAAACTCCACCAATGTTAGGGTGTTAAGAAAATGGGACTCATACATAGTAGATACTCAATAAATATTTACTGAATGAATGGAATGAATAAATGACGGTAGGACTCTGCAGAGTATTTTTCAAGACCAAAGTCAGCTAAACTTGGAGATAATCAAGCCAGTAAACGTTATAAGGCAAACAGAAAGACAAATTCTGGGGCAAAGAAGTTGTCATATTTCAGCTACTAGAGGAGAGGAGAAACGGTACATTTGAAAAGCAAGCCAGGTTGCTGCAGAACAAAAGAGGAATGGTAGCTAATGTCACGTCCAGAATACTTCAGTAGATATAAGGACTGCTGAATACAAAAGCACAGAATTCTGATTCTGAGGAACAACTAAAGCAAGCTCAGCTGAGGGCACAATTGGCTGAGAAGAGCTAGACTGGTCTGTTTTGGATGGGAGGGCCCTCCACACCTCTAGAAATGAGCTATTTTATTTAGGAACAAATTTACAAAAGATGGAAGGTTAGAGTTTCCCAAGAAGAATCCTTAGTTCCTAGGCCCACACTCTTACATAAACACAAGCATTATATTACTGATCGTAAAGATGCTGAGGCTAATAAATTCAAAGCTACTCAAGTAATTCACAGTCTATGACCTAAAAACCGACTTTAGAAGTTCCCCATTTGAAATAGATGTCTAAACAAAGAACAAGGTAGATCTATATGGAGGAATATAAAAATACCACATTTCTATGCGTTGTTTTGTATTACCCCTTTTTTACTAAAGACAAAATTTTTAGGGCTGGCTGATTAGCTCAGCTGGTTAGAGCACAGCCTTTTAATGCCAAGGTCACAGGTTTGGATCCCCATAATGGCCAGCTGCCAAAAAACAAAAACAAAAAAACCCCAATTTTTAAAAATCATAAGTATTAATGTATGCACTTATATACATACAAAAATACTGAGGATACACACCAAGTTCCCCTTGGAAATAGGAATAGGAAGGGGAGAACTTTCATTCTTACTTTTTCTATATCTTTATTGCAATTAAATGTATTCTTTATAATAAAAATATTGTTTCCAAGTAAAAATTAAAAGAAAATAAATATGCTTCTTCTTTTGCCCTCCTCAGACCTATCAATCTTCAATGGATCAATGTTGATTTCAAATAGCAAAGAAGAGTCATTTCCTTTCACTAAAACAGAACCTTCAAGTCAAAAATGATGTGCATCACAGTTGTAGCTTTAAAAATCTACACTTTAATAACTTATTCAAAGACATGTATCCGTAGAAGTAGTAGATTTCCACTGAGATTGTCCATGACATGCATGTCCGCAGGAAAACATCAGAAACATTCTACCTGGGACATTCTCACACTAAAACTTTTTAAAAATCTCAAAGATTTGATCAAGTTTTCAAACTTACCTTTTTTATTGGTTGTGAAGTACTTGGAGTCAGTCATGATTTGGGATCTTTAATGTGCACCTATAGCAAGAGAAGAGAATTCCTTTATCCAGGTTATACGTACCCAGCAAGGAACCTGATTAATTTTAAGAACATCCAATTAATTAAGAACATTTATATTTAAGAATTTTTGTATTCAAAAGTGAGTTATCTTCTTCCTTACTACCACCACTGGTGGTTCAAGAGATGCAGAGAAAATTAAGAACGTAACTTCTGCTTCAAGGAGTTACATAGGGACAAAATCTAAAGGCCAAATGCAATTGGGTGATAATATGAACCTATTATAGATTTGTGATTTTATCCACAATTATCTCCTCAAAGCCTTCAAGAGCTAAAGTTAGACTTTTTTATAAATATATCTTCAGTTAGTCACTCAAACATTTAAGATAAAGTAAAGTTCATTTGTTTTGAAAGATCTCCCCATTACTGTCCATTTAGGAAAATCTAGTTACTTCCCTGACTCCAGATGGTCACTCCGAAGCATATATTCTAAAGCAGTGTAAGGTCAAAAGAGAAAACAATTCTGCCAACCTATCAAACATTACATGCAATTTTCAATAAAAGGAATCTTCTGGAGAAAAAAAAGTCTCAATTAGTAGGACAATATTGTTTCACAGAAGCAAACATGCCTTACACGTGGATTTTTTTAAATTGTGGTATTCATATTTCCAATAATCTACATTTAGCCCAACAGTATTCCCCCAAAATAAATAATATTTTACAGTTAAATCAAGGCAAAAGACTGAGATATTTGTTCAGTCACACTGAGTATAAAAAGAATCAGAACCGGTTAAAACTTAAAAGAACATGGACCTAGCCTCAACCTTAACTCTTTTGTTCCAATTCCCAGGAGAATTAATCCAGCTGAGACATGGCTCCACTAGTAAAAACAAAACCATGGCAGACTGGTCACATTTCTCACCAAATGATGAGACGTTTTCTGATCTGAGAAACCCTAGGACTTCGTCCAATATACTTGACTTCTCTAAATATATTAAACTTTTCTTTAAATAATATTCTTTCTGCACTCAAAAATGAGTATCTTCTTCCTTATCACCATCATTAACAATACTTATTAACAATTTCAAGATAAGACATCTCGTGACCTGCCCATCACTGTCAGGTCAATATAACGTGAGTGATAACATATCTGTCAAACTTTAGTGATAACACACTTGGCAAACAAAAATAAATATAGATCTGGGAGAAAAGACCTAAGCACCAAACAAATCAACATAATTAAATAAAAGGAAAAAGAGCCAGATAACATAAAATAATAAAAAAAAGGTCTGGTTCAAATCTGATCTCTAAAATGAGCTACTTGAATTGGGAGGAGGACGAGGGGGAAAAGGAGAATTAGTAAAGGGACACAAAAATCAACTACACTGTATATTGATAAATTAAAAAATAAAATTAAAAAAAGGAAAATAAGGGCCAGCCCGTGGCTCACTCTGGAGAGTGCAGTGCTGATAACACCAAGGCCACGGGTTTGGATCCTGAAGAGAAAAAAAGTTTAAAAAAAAAAAAAGGACATAAATAAAAAAATAAAAGTAACAAGAAAATAAATTAATTAATTAAACAAAATGTGCTGCTTGGACAATCTAATGGATATTAGGCTCATCTGCTCTTTCCAACCAGCTACTTACCATTTATAGTCTTGATCCTAATACAATAGTTCTTTAGGTCATACCAAAATTTCACTGAATTACATTGTTAAAAGAAGTGAGCTAGAATCCACAAATACCATTACAGAATACAGATATTTAATATGTTATAATTAAAAAATTAAACTTAACAGAAGCCTCCCTTAAACAGGGAATAACGCCTTTCTAGCAAAAATTCAAAGAATGTTATAATCATTTAATCCATTTACCATGCAAACTAAATGTGAAGCAGGCAAATGAAGAAAGGAATCCGTATAAAAGACCTGAAATAAATTGAAGTTATCTATGAACTTACATATACAAATAGAAAAACCAGGATACAGAAGTGCCTACTAGAGGCTGACAGGAGGGCTATAGCTCAAGTAAATTACAGTGCATCTAGGATGTTATTATGCCATTCCAAGTCTTAAGGGATCATCAAAACTTAAAACTTACTTAAGACTTAAAAGCAAAATCTTCCTGGAAATTCTCACCCAATTTTTTCGAAAAAGTGTATGAAAACTGTTGTTTTCTAAAGCTCTCATTCACATACACACACATTAAATTTCTACCAGGAATTTTCAACGCATTCTTTTAAACATTAAATTAACCTAGTCTTTAGTCATGCTTTATTAGTAGCCCACACATTTTATTATCTCTCATAACAAATTTCAATGTCAAGGAATAAATTTCTGTCCTGTTCACTGTGAGCATTAAGTGTTCTTAACCAAAGAATAATGTTCCCACTTACAAAAATTCAGGGAAAGGAGGGTCAATTACCTTTAGAAACCCATGACACAGATCCTAAATTAAGAATCCCTGCTCTAGGGCAGCCCAGTGGCGCACTGGAGAGTGAGCCGCTTGGGAGCACGGTGGCGCTCCCGCCGAGGGTTCGGATCCCATGTGGAGACCGGTTCCCGCTCACTGGCTGAGCGTGGTGCGGACGCGACACCGAGGGTTGCGATCCTGTTACCCGTCAGTAAAAAAAGACAAAAAGGAAAAAAAAAAAAAAAAGAATCCCTGCTCTAAAGAGAAGGGATTAAACATATTACTGTCTTAATTGACACTGCGGTAAACAATAGTAATGAAATATTCTCTATTGATATTGGCAGAGAAACATTGTGCCAAGTTGGTTCTTGCTTTAAGTGAAAAGAAACTCCCAAGAAAAATGAAAATAGGCCTGGCTGGTTAGCTCACTTGGTTGGAATGTGGTGACCTTAACACCAAGATCAAGGGTTCAGATCCCCATACCAGCCAGCTGCCAAAAACAACAACAAAAAGGAAAATAGTCTAAACAAAAAGAAATGAGAAGAGACGGTAGCTGCATAACACTGTGAATGTACTAAATGCCACTTCACCTTAAAATGGCTAATTTATGTGAATTACACCTCAAAAGATTACACACACACATACACACACATATATATATTAATGAGATACATTTAATTGCATGGCAGATATGGACATAGCCAGATTCCCCAAAATATAGGATGGGGGAAACTGATGTCTGCAATAAAAGCCTCAGAAAAAGCAGACAAGGAGCTGAAGAAAAAAAATATATATATATTTGCTAAAGTGCCTCAAAAATCAAGCTGCTCCGGGAGAAAGAAAAAATTGTTTCTTCAGGAGAGCCCCAGAAAGAGACAAAGCCATGACAGAATTTGAACTACCTTTTTAGGATCAAACCAAACAAGCGAATGGCTTTTCTGAGGACTTAAGGTACGGCATAGGGACACTGTTAAACAACAAAGCTGCCACAGTTAAAAGCACACAATCACTCTTACTTGTCCTAGCCCAGAGTGTGATGTCACTACATTTCAGAGAAGGCCTCCCGGCACAGGACTATAGAGATAGATTTAACATAACCTAGTTTCTACCAAATACAGGTTGAAAGTCCCTCCTCTCCTTCTACTCCTTCCTCCTTCCAGTTCCCCAACTGAACAGCAAAATAAGATTAATAGTTAGTTTGAGTAGAATAAGGTCAGAGAAAAGTTAATAGGGTCTTAATTTCAAATGGCTCTTTGGGAAATGGCAGCTAAACTAGAGTTGGTGAGGCCACTAAGCCCTTCTTTTCACATAAAGTTGGGCTTTACACAGTTCAGTCCCATAGTGAAAAACTGGCCAAAGTTACCAAATTATTAAGTAGAAAAGTCATTCCAGTAACCTTTTATTACAAGGGTGAGAGGTGCTAAGTTCATTTCTAATCAAATATTCAATAATAATGCAAAGACAATAACATCTTCAGGTATCAATTAGCTCATAAGAAATCACAAGACCCTGAAAAGCTAAAATTACCTGTGATTTCTATTTAAATGTGACAGACTACAAATAATTTGTTAATATTACACAGAAAGAAAGAAGCTCAAACATGTCCTATTTATTCCTTGTTTAGCTAGGTTCAAACCTGTGCCTAAAATATAATATTCTAAAATATGGATCTTTTAAGAAAAAAAAGGATGAAAGAACTAGATTTCCTTGAGTCTTTTAATTCAATAAGAATGTTAGCTTCATATTAATTTTACCATCCAACTTTCAGTGATGCTGTTTGCAGAACACACTGTCTTTTCTGGAGTTTCAACTGTTAAAGATACCTGCCTGCAAACAGTTCTCACCTTACCACCACGCTTAGTCATCATTGGAATGCGTTACACGTTTTCTTGTACAGCTGCATATCCTTCATCTGCTGCTTTCTATTATTACCTTAGTAAGTGTACCCTACGGCTAAGCAAGAGAAATATACAAGGAACGTAATTAATAATTTAAATTGTTCCTCATTGAGGCCGCCTTCTTAGTCATTCTGCCTTTCTCAGCTTCTTCTGTTTTCTGTACTTTTTCTTTTAATCTACAATGGTTACGATAACAGGGTTTGACAGTTAAAAAAACATTTTTCTTTTTAAAAGTCAAAAGTTTAATGAAGTATGCACACTTCATTCACTTCACCTACACTGCTTCATAATGAAGCAGCCAAGTGACTACAGTAAAAGCCTGCCTGAAAACAAATCGCATGAATAAATTCTTTGGACTCAAATAGTAAAGAACAGGAAGTTCCAGTTTCTTTACTTCCAGCTTAATCTATAGCCTTTCCCAAACCACACCGTTCCTGCTAAGGTTTACCCCCGCTTGCTTCCTCCTCTCTCACATCGGGTCAATTCTGAAGGCTTTTCGTCCCTTCCTCCAAGTGTCAGGAATTCCTCTTCTTTCCCCAGGTGGTCAAGCCTCGAGGGATATGTTCCTCCATTACGAGGTTGGGGAGAGGTGTTTCAACCGCAAATTACGAGAGACGGGCGAGGGGAATCCCTTTTCCCTTTTGCGTGCCGGACACGTCCCAGCCTCTCAGTGAACGACGCCGGGCGGGGAAGAGGGTTGGTTCTCCCCTCGGCCTCCAGCCTCCACTGGCCACACCCCTGGCCTCTGGACCTAAACCCCCGACTTCGAGACATATCTTCTCCCGATGCTCCCAACTCCCTGCTGCCACAGCCGAGGACTCCCTCACCCCACCACAGCCACCGCTGAGGAGACCTTTCCTCCAACCCTTTTTCTCACAACGGTCACACCCGACGGTTCCCTCCATGCTCAACGTTCACGCTCCTAGGACTTCCTCTGCTCCGCCCGTCTCCTACCCAGCCTGGGGTTCTCCTCTTCCCTCTTCCCCCCCAATCAATTAGGGACACACCCCAAAGCCGGCCGCCGTGAACTCACCGGAGGCAAGGGCGGGGTTGGCGGCAGCAGGAAGAGAGCACAGCCCGGGTGGTGGTGTAATGGTTCCCTACCCGTCACGATTCTTTCTCTAGGTCTAAGCCACTGCGCAAAACCGGTTTGCCAGGGACAAAGATGGTGGAAAGGAAACTCTGACGTCAGAGCACCTCGCCGCCTAACGTCATCCGGGTGCGCGGTAAAACCAGAAAGGCGGAGAGATTGCGCCAGGTGGGCCAAGACCTGGAGATCTGGGCCTCCTCGGGGGATGTTCATGGGCTATCCAAAGGGATATATTAAACAAGCTGACATTCTGTGGGTTTCTTTCCTCGCACAGGAATTCTCTGAGAAACTTAGACATAGAACGGGTGAAATACCCTGTTTCTTTCTTTAAAAACAAAAAATCCTCAGCTAGTTTCCCTGGCAATGTTCAGGAGAGGATGGTGATCCAGACCAGGACTATACTCGGGTAGTGGGGCTAGAATAGAGTGGTGCAAGGAAAAGAGGTTGGGACGGCATCACAGCTCAGTTCGAATCCCTGCCTTGAATGTGACTGAGACAGTTTCTTCCCGTTTCTTCAACCGTGTGGAATGAAGACATGATATATCTCTCTAGGGCTTGTGAAGCTTAAATGGGATAAAGTAGGTTAAATGCCTAGCGTGTAATAGGTGTGTTTACACAAAAGGAAGTTTCTTTCGGAGACTAAGACCTAGATTCCAGGGTCTGGAACCGGAAAACAAAGTTGATGGAGGTAAATGAAACTAGCTATTCCTAAGGTTTACTTGAGGGTGTGAGAGAGGATGGAGAGGCAAAGGATGGATTTTTTCCCCTTTATTTTTACCCATCAACTCTGTGAGAGTTGAAAAGTATTTAAGTATTTTTTTTATTTTAATTTTTTAAAAAGATGACCGGTAAGGGGATCTTAACCCTTGGCTTGGTATTGTCAGCACCACGCTCAGCCAGTGAGCCAACCGGTCATCGTCATTCCCTACGTAGGATCCGAACCTGTGGCCTTGGTGTTATCAGCACCGCACTCTCCCGAGTGAGCCACGGGCCAGCCCTATGTATTTTTAAATCGCATTGTTAAAGAAGTAATCAGAAGTACGTAAAAATTAAAAATTTCTTATAACATGTTCATGCATTACTATTTCCTCTAATACTAAAATCGGGGAAATTGGAGCCAGGTGTAAAACAAGAGAAAATGTAAATAGTTATGGTAGATCAGATAGCTGCATAATGTCGTGGAAGAATATTTTATGACATGAAAATTCCCAATAAAATGTTAAGTAAAAAAGGATACAAATCAGTGTATACAGTATGACTGCATATGTAAAGAAAAAAAGCTAGAATAATATTCAGCAGAATGTTAAAAGTGGTTACTGCTGGATGGTCAGTTTTAGTGTCCTAATATTTTTCTGTATTTTTCAAATGTTCTACAGTGAATATGTATTTATTTCTGTGATTGGAAAATGCTTTTGAAACATTTTCAAAGAATATGTAATGATAGAGAAAAATGCTTTGAGATGATGTTAAGAGGAAAAAAAAAAAAAAAAACACCAAAAAGATACAAAACTCTAAATCCAGAGACGTATACATCCCTATTACAGTGGTTCTACCTGGGTGGTGGATTACAAATAGTTATCTTCTTTATATTTTCCATATGTTCCAAATCTTTCTCTAGAGAAATATGTGTGTGTGGTTTGTTTTTGTTTTTGTTTTGGCAGCTGGCCAGTAAGAAATATATATATTTTAAAATAAATAAATAATTGCTATTTTCATAAACCATCATTCCAAAAGCTTTTCAGATTCACTCTCCTCCCCTTTTGGGTGAAAGTATTGACCAATCTCTCCTTTTTTGAACTTTTGTGACTGTGTACTGACCGATCTACCCTTTTTTGAGCTTTTGTGACTGTGTACATTCTAGGTACTTCTACCCATCTTCTTACTCCACTGTCAATTCAACAAATATTTATTGAGGGTTAGTATGTGTCAGGAATTATACTAGAGTCCCAACTCTAAATAAAATATGGTCCCCATTATCAAGGACTCATAGTATAATGTGAGACCACTTAGGAAGCTGTTAAGATGATCTAGCCACAGAATGATGGTTTCGACAACTAATAACAATCTAATTAATATTTATTGAGCATTTATTTTATGTCATTTATTCTGCTAAGTAATTTACATTTATTATATTTTGAAATCCTCACAACCTGATAACCAGATAGGTACTACTGTATTAACTATCCTTCTTTTACAGAGGTGAAGGGAAGTTTAGGGGTGGAATTAATATTTGAACCCCGGAAGTCTGACACTAGAACTGATGATGCCAATGTTTTAGGCTTGGGCAAGGAATAAATGGTAGTACTAGTAATTCAAAATAGGAAGATATGACATGGCACAAATTTGGGAAAGGGGAGGGAGGTGATGAGTTCATTTTTATGCATGTTGGCTTTGAGTGAAGATGTCCAAGTGGTAGTTGACTATATGTGTCTAAAGATAAGGAATGATCTAGAATTGAATTAGTTTTGTGGGCCATCAGCATACAGATAATAATTTAATCCACAGGAATGAACATTACTCATGAAGAATGTGGATAGTGAGAGAGCTTTGGGGCAGAAACAGAGGAAACCAAGAATCAAAGAGGACTGAGAAGTAGTCAGAGAGGTAGATGAAAAAGCAGGAAGCTATGATGTTTTAGGATGTTTGTCGAGTTCCATGAAAGTAGGTACGATACCAGTCTCTTCACTCTATCCCTGAGGCGAAGTCCCTCTCCCTACAAGATTAATATATGTTAAATAAATAAGAGTATGAATAAGTGGTCAACAATATTAGTTGCTATAAGAGGGAGGGGCTGAAAAGTGTCTACAGGATTTAGCAACATGTAGGTTTTTTAGGTCATTGCTGAGAACATCAGCAGAGATATAAGGAAAAATCTATGCTGCAGAAGTTTGAGGATGAATTGGAGGTGAGGAAATAGAAAGTATGACTGAAGAGAGAATAGGTGTAGGATGGTATTTAAGGGAGAGAATGGAAAGGATTTTTTTTTTAAGTTTATTTCTATACACATACATCTTCCTTACAGTAACCCTTTAGCCATACCATGGATTTAATTATGTTCCATATGCACATAACTCCAAAATCTCTTTCTCTTCCCATTGTACTTCAGGCTTCTTCCCATGGCCTGTGAGTCCCTGCATGGTTTGACCCATCTACCTCTCTAACATCATTCTATGCCTTTCAGTCACTCTTCATTTCCTCATCATTTTACCTTCTGCTAGCTAAAGTAGTCCTCAAATACACGAAGCTCTTTCCCACCTTCAGGCTTTCACAAATAACTGCTCCTCCTGCCTAATATTCTCTCCCCCAACTTCTCACATGGCTGTCTCCTCATAATACAGGTTTCTCTTTAATTGTTATCTCAGAAGATTATCCAATGTAAAAGGTTCTGCCCTCCCAGCCCCCACTGCCACTCCCATCTCATCCCTCTTATTCAACTTGTAAATTATGTATTTATTTACTTGTTCATTATCTTTCCCAACTAGACTGTAAATTCCATGAGGGCAGGTACCATGTGTTTTTACTACAGTACAACTTTATATTCTGCACCTAGCATAATGTCTGACACACAGAAGATACTCAACATTTATTGAATGAATGCCCACAGACAAGTTCTAAAATTAGCATTTAAGACCCTCCGTAATCCATCTAAATCTACTTTTCAACATACCCTCCACTACTTTTTTCTGTAGCTCTAGCATTAAATTAAATAATTTCCTCCTCATATTTATTCTCTGCTGCTTCCTTAGCCTGGAAAGCCCTTCACCACTATTGTGACTTGCCCCAAATGTACTCATCCTTTGAGGCCCACCTAATTCACAAAACTTTTTTTAGTGGACATCTGCTATGACATGGAGTACAGGGGGTACCAGGTTATATCACTGTATTAGAGAAAATGGCAGAGAGACACTGAAATGAAACATGAAGTTAGAATTTGTTTGGTTACATGGGCCAATATATTTGCTTTCTGTATAAGTTGCTTTGAACTACCTTATTTCTCCCCGCTGGTAGTTATTTCTTCCTCTAAACTCATACCGTATTAACCTATCTGATGGCTTTTAATACCTTTTATTTATTTATTATTTCTTTTCTTTTCTTGACCGGTAAGGGGATCATAACCCTCGGCATGGTGTGGTCTGCACCACACTCAGCCAGTGAGTGTACTGGCCATCCCTATATAGGATCCGAACCTGCAGCCTCGGTGCTACCAGCGCCACACTCTCCCGAGTGAGCCACAGGGCCAGCCCTAATACCTTTTAAAATGAGTGCAATTTATGTCTTATCTCCTTTATTACACTAAACTCCTGAGGGTGGGATTTGTGATGTGTTTATTATTTGTAGATGTAATAATTGACATGCTATTTTTTACTGCCTTTCCTCCTTATGTAACAACGTCAGTTTACTTTTGGAGTATCCTCAGAAGACTCTCATTAATCAAGATGTCTTGCCCTCCTCTGGCTAAAAGTGAAATAGAGTGAAGGGGGAAATTGATCCAAGCTAGTCAGTTGGAATTTGAATCAGGAGCACAGAGACAAATAGAATTTGGTGGAAGCTCATTCATTGCAACATGTGGCCTGTATCAAACTGTTTGCTAATTCTGGATAGAGACCCAATAGGATTGTGTAGTTCCTGTGCTTTCAGGGCTAGCTTTTCTTATTTGTGAGCTACTCCACAGAGTTCTAATAAATTCCTTTTTAGCTTAAATTAGACTGTTTGTTGCTTATAACCAAGGAACCCTAATTGACAAAAATGTTTGACTAATTTCCTGTTTGTTTTAATTAATGATATTGCTCAACTTTGTATTTTTGTTGTTCACTTAAGAAATCCTTGCACATAATAGCTACCATTGACTGAGCACCTAATGTGTACCAAGTGCTTTATATAGATATATTATCTCTAGTCCTTAAAACTCTGTGAAGTAGAAATCCTATATCAATATGACTTTCTCTGACAGGTATTTTGTAGAGTAAAAAGCACTTTTTAAAACTATAATTAAGGGTAACTTGCAAGATTTTATTTCTCTCCTACTGAAACAAAACAACTACTGTAAACACAAATCTTGTTTTTGAGGGTTCTCATTTTGCAAACCAACGATCTATCTTTACACCATAAGATTCTCTAGGGCAGTGAATAATTCCTTCTATTTCTAGCTATTTAGCCCAGAGGGGAGGGTGGAGTTAGACGGAGGGAAGAGACGTTGAACTCTCATCCAAATATAAACCTCTACCAGCAACTCAAAACGAGGCAAAGCTGTATACGATGTAAATGCACTTTACACACTGTAAATTAAATTAGTTTGAGTATACAAACTGAGAAGCACCTCCTCCGGCAAGCCTCCCCAATTCATGCTCGTTAGAATTCATCAGGATTCTCCCGCTTTAGTACCGTATTCATGTCGCTAATGTGACACATCCTACTGTGTACGAGGGATAGGACCATTTCCGTCTAGTATAGCGAGTGCCTAGAGGTATGTTTGAATGTAAACAAACCTGAAAGAGTTAAGCTACCAGCTTAGATGGCAAGTTTCACCTTCCCAAGTTCTGAGGAACAAGCAGGAACCTTTCTCATTCCTGATTATCTTTCTTTATTATATTTGACGGCAATAAAGATAAGGCTTCTATCTCCTATGTCGCTTCAAATTCTTTCCGGAAGGCAGTAGAATATAAATTATCCACCATCCTCGCCGCGCGTGTACAAAAAGGGCCTTCCCATCTCCCGATACCCTTTCTCCCTCGGTCCCTAGCTCGATCGCCCGCGGGACCACAGGCTTAAGCAGCTCCTGGAGCCAGACATCGGCACGGCGTCCCAAACACCCTGTCAAAAAGACCTCTGCGGAGAGAGGATCAGAGCTGTGGCTTTCCACCGAGGATACGATGCAGACCCAGCTTAAAAAAAAAAAAAAAAAATGGAAAAGAAACCAGCAGAGGACTCATCGCCCAAACTAGCCCGAACTCTTCCCCTTTAATTTCCGCGAGGGCGGAAGCGGAAGTTCGTATAGGGTCATAGAGTTCCACAGTTCCGGATTCAAGGCCGCATTCGGGACTAGAGCGCCTCACTTCCGGCAGCCCTCCCTGTGGTCCCGGTGGCTTCTATTTCCGCGTGCGGCCTCCCGTCAAACGTGGGGTCGTGGGTGCTTCTCACCTCGCTGGGGTCAGCGAGCAAGGACGGGCGCGGGCCGGGGTACTTTACAGCCAACAACGGGAGCCAGTCCGTGCGTCCCGCGCACGCACTGGCACTTCTGATCCTTGGAGCGGTCTGGCTTTTGAGCCCTCGAGATTGAGGGTCCCTGGTTCGCAGCTCCAGGACTGCAGCTCGAGAGGACAGCGCTCTTCGCCCATACCTATACCTCACAGTCACGCTCTGCCCTGTGAAGTGCAGCATTTGACAAGTCACTCTCTCCCTACATACCACTTCCACCCACGTCTGGGTTAACTTCGTTCTCGAGCCCCTGAATTTGAGACCCCTACCCTCCGCCTCCTCTCTTCTCCTCCAGAAGAGGTCTTTTTCCCCAGTTCAATTTCGTCCGTAAAACTGAGTTTGGAGTTGCGGGTATCCTGCGGAAAGATTACCTTTTAAGACCGAGCACCCATTTGATACAAACAAACAAAAGTTCATGCTTACTAGACAGCTTGTGGGTAAAGAGAAACCCAATACACACAGAAAACTATGGCTGAGCACGGGGCTCACATCACAACTGCTTCTGTGGCGGATGACCAGCCATCCATCTTTGAGGTGGTAGCACAGGACAGTTTAATGACAGCAGTGAGACCTGCTCTTCAGCATGTGGTCAAGGTAAGCTATTAATTCTCTGAGATTTTAGGAACTTAGTAAAAACCAAACGAATCATTTGTTTATTTGGCAGCCTAGGGTTTGAAATAATCAATTTGCATATGTGTCCCACTGCTTAACAGTTATTAAGTCTCAGTTCTGTGTACTGAATATCCAGCATTTCAGGAAGGTTAGGACAGACCTCAGAAAAAGTGACTTATTTAAGCTGAAAGTGTATAGAATTTAGAGGGGGAAAAGGCAATGTAAATATAAGGTACAGTAGCTGTGTAACAATGAATTTCATTTATTGATTTATTTTGCTTCAGGTTCTTGCAGAATCAAACCCTGCCCACTATGGCTTCTTTTGGAGATGGTTTGATGAAATCTTTACTCTGCTAGATCTTCTGCTTCAGCAGCATTATCTGTCTAAAACCAGTGCCTCTTTTTCTGAAAACTTTTATGGCTTAAAGCGGATTGTAATGGGGGACACTCACAGGTTTCAGAGATTGGCCAGTGCTGGTCTTCCAAAGAAGCAGCTTTGGAAATCACTTATGTTCCTGGTTCTTCTTCCCTATCTGAAAGTGAAGCTGGAGAAGCTGGTTTATAGCCTGAGAGAAGAGGATGAATATTCTATTCATCCCCCTTCTTCCCACTGGAAACGATTTTACAGAGCCTTCCTGGCAGCCTACCCATTTGTTAACATGGCCTGGGAAGGGTGGTTTCTTGTACAGCAACTTCAGTACATCCTAGGAAAAGCTCAGCATCACTCACCACTGCTGAGGCTGGCTGGAGTTCGGCTAGGTCGACTGACAGTTCAGGATATACAAGCTCTGGCAGACAGACCAGCTGAAGTCAGCATGATGCAGCAACCAGCCAGGAGGTAAGGCCTTAACATTTCCAAAAAAATCTTTGATTAATAAATTCTAAAATTTTATCCCAATTTTATGAAATTTACCTCCCTCAGTTCACTTTGCAGTATTTTGTAAAACCACAGAAAAGTTATTACCTATGTCCATAAAACAAGGACCGCTATCCTGGTAACCTTCATCATACTAGGTACATTTTAGTGCACACTTGCTATGTGCCAGGCCCTGAGCTAAGCGTTTGCTTTATGTACCTTATCTCAATCCTCATCACAACCTAATGAAGTAAATGCATTGGCTCCATCTAGCAGTTGAGGAAAGTAAGCTCTAACAGCAAAGTACCTTGCCAAGAACACACAGCTAGGTGGCAGAGCTGAGATTCAAACCTGTTTAGTACAGTTCCACAGACTGTGCTCTTAACCATGGTGCTGTACTACTTCTAGTTACTGTTTATGTTCTTCTACAAGTTCAATATATATATTTCTCAATACAGCTACGTTTTTTTTTTTTTCTGGATGCACTATCTTTCACTTAAAAACAAATTTTCTACAACTTTCTCAAAACACAAAACCCTAATCTCGTTATCAAAAACTAAGCTTAGGGGCCGGCCCGGTGGCACACTGGAGAGTGCGCCGCCTGGGAGCGCGGCGGCGCTCCCGCTGAGGGTTCGGATCCCATGTGGAGACCAGTTCCCGCTCACTGGCTGAGCGCGGTGCGGGCGCAACACCGAGGATTGCGATCCCGTTGCCGGTCCCCGGTATGGGCGCAACACCTAGGGTTGCGATCCCGTTACTGGTCAGTAAAAAAAAAGACAAAAAGGAAAAAAACAAAAAAACACTAAGCTTAGCTTCTATACTCCTAAAATACTGTTAAGTCAGAAAGAAGGAATCTTTTAGAATAGATCCTTAAGGATATGGTGACAATCTGGCAACTATTCAATCCCCAAATAAGTGATTCTAATGGAAAGTGTATGAGTAAGAACTGCCTTTATGTAAGTCATCCTGTGATTATACCTAAACAAAAAGTTTCTCTTTGCCTCTTTGTTTTCTTCTCCCAACAGTGTAATTGAAAATATAAAGTCAGCTCTGAAGAAAGCTGTGGGAGGTGCTGCCTTATCTCTCTCTACTGGCCTTTCTGTGGGTGTATTCTTCCTGCAGTTCCTTGACTGGTGGTACTCATCTGAAAATCAGGAAACCATCAAGTCACTGACTGCCCTGCCTAGTCCACCACCCCCTGTACATCTAGACTACAACTCTGATTCTCCCTTGTTACCCAAAATGAAGACTGTGTGCCCACTGTGTCGTAAAACCCGGGTGAATGATACTGTTCTTGCCACCTCTGGCTATGTGTTTTGTTATCGCTGTGTGTTTAATTATGTGAGGAGTCACCAAGCTTGTCCCATCACAGGTTATCCAACAGAAGTACAACATCTGATTAAACTGTACTCCCCTGAGAACTGAAAGGGATTAGCATCTTAATCTCACATCTTATGCACTATAAGGCCACAGGGCTGGTTTTCAGCATGGTTCACAGCACTGATACTTCTCAGACTCAATTCATACCTATATGAACTTTAAACAACTATATGGATTTCTTTTAAAAAGAGATACCCATTTAATCCTAAACTTTTAGCCTTCTCTCTAGACCCCTACTTACAGTTGACCAATCAGATTAGAGCAGGAGAATCAGGACTGGCAGAGGATGTGAGGGCCAGTGTAAAGGAAGTAGATAAAAGATGATGTTAGTATGGAAGCTTTGCCTGTTCCTTTCTTTAAAGAATAAGAGGTATAAATCTCTCAGGAAAAAGCCAGGGATAGACCTCATAAAGTGGGTGGTGAGGGGGAAGCAGGTCTTTAGAAAAGAAACTATCTGCCTGTAAGGTAGAAATTTTATCAGTTTGCAAACTATGAAATGTTGACCTGCTCTTTATAAAAATATTTAGAAATACTTTAGAAAACAACAGCTCCTTCCATATACTGTGATCCATTTGTTGTGACATCTGCTATAGTTTATCAACTTTTAAAGATACCTTTATGAGCCATATATAGAAGTATTTCTTGGAAAACTGGTTAAGGGAAAATAGGGTTTGAGTGTTTATGAATAGAGTAGTCTGAAGATTTCAGTTTAAAAGCAAAGCTAACAAGCAATGAAGAGATGAGGTAAAATACTAATCTAACTATAAAGAAAGGATCTTTTAATAAGCTCTTTCTGTTTGCTGTTAGAGTTTGCTAAACTGGCATGAATTATTCTGGATATTACTAAAGTTTCTATGAAACATTTAAGTAAATTTTAAGAATAATTTTCTGGCAAAGAACTCTTCCATGTTGCCATGATTATGTGGAAACTTAAAGATTACTAGAGATGGTAAAATAAATTTTTCATTCAGATCACTTTTGACTTTTTGAGGTACTTTTGTATTGTTCAAGTTTGCTTTTTTATGCTAATCCAATGGTTGGAACAAAAATCCTCTCCTCCAACAGCAGGAATTCAGCCTTGTATGAAAAACCTTGTATTAGAAATACTACAGAAACACTTAAGTTGTCTGTGTAGGTGAATTTATGCAACTGGCTTGGCAGACTGGTGAAAACCTGAGTTAAAAAAAGAAACAGATTTGTAAGTGACTCTGCTGAGGTAGGTGTTTTCTGATACTTTAACTCATTTTCTCCATTCAAAGCACATTCTCTGATAGCACAAAGGCAACAAAGATAAATTATGAAATGGAATATCCTATGGGTTTTAAAATTTTAAAACTTTTATATACCATAAGAAGAGTATAATGGATATTTTAAAATCCTTGTTAAACCTCAAAGCTTTTACCAAAACAAAAACCATAGTTAATTAAAATATTTTTAATACAATAAGAAGTCAGTATGAGAAGTGAATCAAATTCAAGACTGAAATGACGTAGTCTTCCATGGAGATTTCAAAGCCAGATTTTTCACTTCAACCTAAGAAGAAAAACATGAAAGTATCAGTAATTCAAAGAATATCAAAGAAATTCTCTTGTACATAATAAAACCATATCCAAATACGTAAGAACACACCTGTGTGGAAAAACCACAACCAGAATCAGCTCAGAGAGAAGATTAAGGGATCATACCCTGGTCAAAGCCAACACTGAAGTGATGGCAATACCAGGTCAGACTATACTTCACTCATCATTGCAGCCCAGTGCCCTATTTTCTCAACCAAGAAAACTTAGGCTTGCTTCTGAAAAAATAAAGGCTTCTTTTTAGATGAGTTTTCACCACGGGTTTTCTTGTGTTCCTTGTTTTTTGGGGGAGCGGGGGTGGTATCTAGCCAGTACAGGGACTGAACCCTAGACCTTGGTGTTGTCAGCACCATGCTCTAACCAACTGAGTTAACTGGCCAGCTAAACCATGGGTTTTTAATCAATATTTTATTTTCCACTATACTTTCTTTTAAGCAACTCCGCTATATGAAACGCTAACTTAAACTGTTTTTCAGGGTTTTTGTTTTTGAAGCACAGAGGAGAGTGGAGAAGCATTTACTGTTCAAACACATTTTTTTTTTTTCTAATGAGCCCAAACACATGATAGAAATCTCAGGGATGTTTATAAAGGGATTTACAGCCTAGTTCTAAAAGGTTTTCTACTAAATTTCTTTATAAACTCCAGTTCATTTAACATACAGTTCGATTTATAACTCTGCTGCCAACAATGGCAAAGTGTAGCCATAAACATTTTATACCAGAATCTTGATCTTAAGAATCCAAGAATCCAGAGAAGCTGTGATTTGCCAAACCTCAACAGCAAATTTAACAGCAGAGCTGGAAACAGGACTCAGGTCTGATGACCAGACTTACATTTTTCCACTAACAGCTAAATAAAAGGTTTAGTTTCATTTACTTCCAGGCTCCTACTCTTATATTTACTAATAAGGGAAGCCATGGGCAAGATAAAGAAACAAGGCTAAATTGAGTAAGAAAGCTGACTGCATTTCATTTATTCCAAACAACACCTTCTGCGGTATACTATCGCTGACATGGAAAAGTACTGGAATCATAAAGTCACCCTCTCCAGACCTTCAATGTGATATTGTCAGTATCTAAATAACAATTCTGGAGCCACCATATACTTCCTTCAGCCATCTATAAATGTCAATAGACTGAAACTCCATAGTCAAAAATTGACAGCTGTTGGTCTGTGTTCAACATTCAACAACTTAGCTCCATGAAGAGAGGGAAGCTAACTTACGAAGCACCTGTTACACAAGGGCTGTGCTTGACCCTTGTAGCTCATCATGCTCTACAGGGGAAATAGGTACACGTTAGAAATGTGGAAACAGAGGCCGAGAGAGCTTAATAATTTAAATAATTCTGCCTAAAATCATGAAACTCATGAGCAGAGCCAAGCTCTGAACCAATGAATGCCTGACTTTAAAGCCCATGTTCCATTTAGCAGACAATACTGCTGTTTCAATGGGTTTCCTGCCTCCTGTTTCTCTCCCATCCAACGTACTCTGAATATTACACACGTACTAACCTTAAAATATGAAGGTGTGATTATGTCATTACTCACAGGCATTCAATTGCTCCCTATGGTCCAGAAAATAAAGTTCAAACTACTTTGCTTGGCATTCAAGATATTTAAAACTGACCAAATTTATCCTTAACACACACCATAACCCTAACATGTACCTTTGATTCTAACCGACCCAGACTATTCCTTAGTCCTCAAACCTGCTCTCATTGAGCGTGTGCCTCCCATCCAGAAAGTCCTTCTTCCCCTCTGTAGAAACCTTTCCTGTACTTTGGTCCTGGCTCTCCAGTTTGTGACCCTCCAAAACGTCACTTTTTGCATGAAGCCTTTCCCTATCAATCCAACAGGAAATTATCTGTCCTTCCTCTTAATTATGGGAGCACATTAGTACTTATTTTGTGGTACTTATTTCATTCTGTATTTTAAGATCCAGAAAGGCATCCTAACATGGAATTCAAGATATTTAGAAGTCTAGCTCCTACCTACCTATCAGCTTCATCTTCAGCCCTGGGCAAGCACTCCATGTGCTCCGGCTATACACAGAAGGTGCACTTTGCTCCACTTGCAGTGCCTTCCCCACCTCTTTCAATGGGGAGACGCCTAATTACACTTTCACAACTACACAAATGTCACCATCTCTTAAGTGTTCCCAACTCCCTCAGTCATCCCCTCCTCTGACTCCTACAGCACCTCCTTCCACCACAGCACGCATCACACGCCCACTATTCACCAGTTCACGTTTTCCGCCCTTTCTCCTCCCAGCCCTATCACACTGAGTTCCTAAAGAATCTGGGCTATGTTTTACTGACCTTTGCAGACACTGCACTCAGAACGGTGCCTGGAGGAAGATCAATAAGTGAGTGTTTAATTTAGCCACCGAGCGACCCTCCCTACTAAGTCTAACTACTGACCTTTGCAGACACTGCACTCAGAACGGTGCCTAGAGGAAGATCAATAAGTGAGTGTTTAATTTAGCCACCGAGCGACCCTCCCTACTAAGTCTAAGCTCCTAGACTATAAAAGCATCAGCGCACCTTGTAAAGCCGATTTACCTCCAACAGTTCACGTTCGTAAGGAACATACCTCAAGCATCTCCAAGCCCTCATCCCCCCCCAGCTCCCTGCGCAGGACAACCAATGCTTACACACAGTAGACCCCCAAAACTAAGAAGATCGTAATAACGATAAGTTCCAAACCCCACCAACCTCAGGAAAGGCTGAAGCCATCCTCGCGGGGAAACACGAGTAAGGCCGGAGCCAGGGCTCAAACCAAACCCCCAAGCAGGCGTTCGCAGTCCGCTTTCCGAAATCCTAAACCTCCTGCGCCCTAGACTCTCCCAGGAGGCCTGTCCCGGCCTGCGGAGGACGACAGGAGATGGGCTCTCGAGCTTCTGGCCGCCGGCGATGCCGGCTTTGGGTTCCCCACTCTCCTCAGCCTCACTGCGGGGCCCGCATCCCACAGCCCAACGCGGCTCTCGCGGGACAACCAATCCCGCTGCGGCCAGAGGATCACGTGGGAAGCCTTTAGGCGGGGCTAGGGCGAGAAGCAGCCAATCGGAGGCCGCGGCGTACGTCAGGGGTGCAGCGGGCGGCATGGCGGGCTCAGCTTTTCCGTCGCTTCTTTGCGGCCCTGCAGTTGTCCTGCGAGTTAGGCCAGTCGCTTTCCGTACTCTGAACAGTCCCCCACTACCCTGACAATTCCTGGCCCTCGGACCTCGGGGCTACTGTTAGGTACAGTGGTTCTGCCGGTGCCTTGTGTTTCAGTTCATTTCAGACAGCGATCCCACATCGTTTGCTGCGCCTGTCCCGGATTCCCGGCTGAGGGCTAGGGATTGGGGTGGGCCACAGATGGGGAGAACTTATTGGCTGCCCAGGTGCCTCATAGATGAGCAAAAGTTGCCACGAGGAAAGTGCAGCTAAATATCAAAGCTCAAAAGCGAGAAGGAAAGACTTCCTGGGAGAAGTGGCATTTCATCTGGGTAGGATGGGTGACATTTGAATATTAGGAGATACTGGGAGAAGGAATCGTTTAAGCTCCCGAATAAACTGAGAAATTATGGTGGACTTTACCAGATTTAGGTAAAGTTGATATAGTTGGTGCGGTGCTTCTCAAAATCCAGTGAAACACCAGGAGGAACCCCTTGACTGACAATACAGATGTCCTCCAGCATAAAAAGAAAACAACAACAAAAAATAAATTTAAAAAGCAAACAAAAACCCCAAAATGTTTTGGGCTCAACCCAGACCTGCCAAATTAGATATTCTGGAGTTGGAGCCCAGGCATGGTATATTTTTAATAAGCACCCCAGGGGTGATTCTGATTCACACTAAAGTTTGAGGTGTTAAAGAGAGAATGTGGTAGAAGATTGGGAAAACAGGTCAAGGCTTTGTTAAGGATGATAGTTGGCTGGCTATGTAGTTCAGACTACTCTGGAGAGAATAGGAGAATTGAAGATTACAGAGGCCAAGGAGTTAGGTGATCAGAGCCACACTTTAGGAAGCTCAATTTCCATCTGTGTTTAGATTGGAGGGGAGCAGAGAGTAAAAGCAGGAGAAGCTATTGCAATAGTCCAGGTGACAGCTAGTAAGAGCCAAAATTAGACTTTGGCAGTGGAGATAAAGTGGTGACATATGAAAGGCAAATGAGGATTGTGGTGAGTGTCAGATAGAGATGGGTAGAAGGACATGAAGAAAAAATGGAGGGTCTTCTGTACCAGACCAACTAAAGACCCCTTTGTACCTTAGGGATAGGAGAGGTTAGACAAAAAAGAGAATGTGTCTTTGCATGCACTATTTCCACTACCTGGTCTATTGTTTCCCACTTCATCTCCCTTTCTCAACCTGGTGCATTCTTACTTACAGGTTCCAGTTTACATATCATCTCATTTGGGAAATCTTTTCTGATTCTCACAAGCATAGTTATTATCACTCCTCAGAACAGTCAGAGCACACTGCTTATATATTGCTAGCTCTCCAGAGTGTAGAGCTAGAGTGTAATGGTCATGCACATGGACTATGTCAGCAAGCAATTTAAACCTTGTGTTCTTCAGTTACCATACCTGTAAAAAGAGGATGATAATAGCATCTACCTCCTAGAGCTGTTATAAGATGAATGAGAACAACACCTAGTACATAGAGTGCACAGTAGTTGTTTTTGTGTATGCTGTACTGTTGCGAGTTGTTTAATATATGTGTTCTTTCTTTAGATTGCGAATGGGACATGTGTCTTACTCTTCCAGCTAACAGTAAAGCTACGTGGCAGAATGAAAACAGATGAGCTTTGGATTCAGATAGACCAATGTTCAAATCCCAGCTCTGATACTTACTAGATATATAACCTCGAGCTTTACCTTGCCAAACTCAGTTTCTTCATTTATAAGACGGTGAAAATAATGCATGTCTTGCAAGTTGTTATGAGGAATGTATGAGAGAATGAAACTTGAATATTTGGCCCAATATAACAATCACTAAAGGGCAGTTTTTATTTTGATGTGTTGCCCCAGTTTTATTTGAGGCTATGCCCCCAGAGCATAGCACAATGTTTGGAATATGGTTAGTGCTCGATAATTGATTATTGAAAGAAAAGCTGACATTATATGCCAGGCACCATGCTAAGCTCTTTATGTGCATCATCTCACTGTGTTCTCACATGTACTCTGTGTAGAAGGCACTATTATTATCTGCAATTTGCCCAAAGGAATCTGAGGTTAGGTTAGCTTAACCAAGGTCTCATAGCTAGAATGTGGCAGAGCCAGGATTCAAACATCCTAGGAACCCCAAAATAGCTGATTGAATGAAAGAATGAATGAAAATGAGGAAACTTACCCAGGCTCAGGTACAGGCATGGTAGAGCCAGAACTGTCTCTCTTGGCCATTATGCTATCTATTCTCTTTAAATCATCTCCATGAAAAAGTTGAGGGTAAGATGGTGGTGCCTGGGGGTCGGGAGACCAATCTTTCTTCTTCTGCTGGTATTTTACAATTATATATAGTGCACTTGCAGGATAAGCCATAACTAACACTGCTGATAAACCAAAATGCTGGTGAAAGAACACATCTTAAATAAATTGGGGTTCTGGTTCTTAGCCAATCATCAATACTATGGCGAGATAACTTTCCCCAAACACAGGAAAAGTCACTATCCAAGCTACTAACTTCAAGTTGTTTTGTAGCAGAAACATTTGCTTTAGAGATATCAAAGCCAAGATGTGAGGTCCTCCCTGGCCTGACAATCTATCCATATCCAGGAGACTTAACTAATAGATCTGCAACATAACCAGCGCCACTTCAGACAAGCTCAAGCACAAAATGGCGCTGCCCACCCCCTCCCCTCCCCCTTTCCCTTTTCCAGAAGCCTCCTGACTTAAACAGAAACCCCTTTTGCTTCCGCAAGGACGCAGTTCTCCACCCCGATCCACATTAGCATAATGACCCTCCTTAATGGTATCAGCCAGCCCTTGGAGCACTACATAATATCTACCACCCCCCACACCTGGTGCTGTCCACTATTTTAGGGCAGCCCTGGTCCCTGTGCCACTCTGAGCACAGCCCAGCAGATTTCTTTCTTTAATAAAGCTTGAATGGTACCCGGCATCTTGGCTCACCTTCTTTCATTAACTAAGGAGCATTGAAGGCTAAGCCCCCTTCACTCATCTTCCACATTATCCACACCCCTCCCCCCCTTCTCCTGATTTGATAGCCGTTAGTGCACTGCAGAAGAATAAGATGGGAACAACAATCCAGTTCCTACTCCTCCCGTCCAAATGATACACTTCCTGTTGACTGGGAAGAAAAAGGGGAGGTGCTTAGGGAGTCTTCTCATTCGGAAGGCTCTCAAGCAATCCAGAATCCCAAACTTGAAAAGCAGTGAAAGGAGTAGGAACATAGACAGACCTGGTTTTGAACCCCAGCTCTTCCACTTACTGGCCATGTAATCTCAGTTTTTGCATAGTGTGTAGAGCTCCCAGCATTGTCCCTTGCATCTAGTAGTCACATTTCCAGTAAACGGTGGTCATTTTTATCCTTCTAAAAGTAAATATCAGGGGCATTTCAGTGTGAAGGTGAGGCTGAGAATTAAGGTAGATAGTAATGGATTGTATTCAAAACTGGCATGAGTGAAAAAGGGCTAAAGCCGAAGCTGAGACAGGCCCTTGGAACTTATATTGCTGTGTCGATTATACATCATAGTATCCATTCTGCCTCCTATCCTGGAAATTCCATTCAGCCAAATATGTGCAAACAGTAATGCCAGCAAAGCAGAACTTTGTAGAGGTAGTAGCCTTGGTTAACACCACACAGTAGATAGTAATGGATTGTATTCAAAACTGGCATGAGTGAAAAAGGGCTAAAGCCGAAGCTGGGACAGGCCCTTGGAACTTATTATATTGCTGTGTCGATTATACATCATAGTATCCATTCTGCCTCCTATCCTGGAAAGTCCATTCAGCCAAATATGTGCAAAGAGTAATGCCAGCAAAGCAGAACTTTGTAGAGGTAGTAGCCTTGGCTAACACCACACACACACACACACACACACACACACACACAATCCAGAGACCTCTTTCAAAATGTCTTTTCACCATACACGAATTGAAGTAGAAACAAAGAGTTGTTTGCTGGTTTGATTTAGAGGGAGAGAAATGTGTTCATTTCCTGTGGCTGCCATAACAAATTGCCACAAACTTGTGGCTTAAAGCAATAGAAATCTATTCTTTTATAGCCCTTTTACAGCTAGAAGTTCAACAGCAATTCACTGGGCTGAAATCAGGATGTTAGCAGGGCCATACTCTCTATAGAAGCTCTAAGGAGAAGCCATTCCTCCCCTCTTCCAGCTCCTGGTAGCTACCAGCATTACTTCACTTGTGGCCTCATCACTCCAGTCTCTGCCTCTGTGATCACATTGCCTCTTCTTCTTTTGTGTATATCAAATCTCTCTCTGTTCCTCTCTTAGGAGAACACCATGACTGGATCTAGGATCCACTGGGTAATCCAGGATAATGTCATCTCCCCAATTCGAGATTGTTAACTTAATCACATCTGCAAAGACCCTTTTCCCTTAGAAGGCAACATTTACAGGTTCCTAATAATAGTGATGATGGTGATGATGAGTGACCATTATTCAGCCTACAGGTTTGACCCTGTGTAGCCAGCATCCCCCAATGAGATAACTGACTTTCATCTGTTTATTTTTACCATTTAATTGTTTTTAATTATAAAAACAATTCATGTTTATTGTAAACCATTTTAAAAATACAGAACAGTTAAACAAAGAAAAGGAAAGGAAATTAAATGAAAAATCACCTGTAATTCTCTCACTGAGGGATAGTCAGCTTCTCATCTATGAACGTTTTTTCCAGGCTGGGTCTTGTGTCTAATGAAGAAGAAAAGTAGGAAAAAGAATAAGAGCAAATAGAATAGGACAAGCAATTGGAAGGTAATGAAATAGGTTAACA